TTTTTATTAAAATTTACCATGCTATAAATAGTAACAACATTAAGATATGCAGGCATAAGCAATTTTAATCAAATGCGTGGGAGTTTTGCGCTCCAACCCTCGCTTTCATGGGCTCCTGACTGTACAAGTTATGATAATTCACCTACCAAGTATTAGATGATTATACATTTACATGTAGATACTATTAACATGTATGGTACATGTACACGTACATAATAACATGCTGTCATTTGTTGTTGTTTATTGTTGTTGTTAGGTTGTTTGGGTGTTGTCAGATATGCTGCTTGAGTGTAACATGGCCCACGTGTTAACTAAAGTACAAAGAGGACATTTTCTGTTGGACAGGAAGAGGAAAGCACTTCAGGAACCAACCAGGGTGAGAGGGGCGGGGCTAGGGGAGGAGCTAGTACTTTGGGAATTAGAGTAGAAGAAAAGACGAAAGTGAAAGTACAAATATTTGTTTGACTGGGTTGTCTGACTGTGATCATGAATTTTATTTTTAAAAAGAATTACATGTACAGTATAACCTCAATTATCCGGACCCCTTTATCCATCAAGTGGTCCTGATAAGTGAAAAGTCCGGATGCCGTAGGTCGAGTTATATTCGCAGCTGCTAATATTCGCGATTTTTTCCCGCAGCTAACAATTGCCATAGCAACTAGATGCTATTTTAATTGAAAACGGCACGTTGTTGAAGCACAGCACCCGATTGCAGTGTTTTTGAGTTGTTATTCTTCTTGCTGTTACTAATCCTTGGACTTTTTGAAGCTGCTTTAGCCAGTTCTTTTCAGAAAGACTCTACTCACTCTGCCTCGCCGTGTCTTGGGACTCTCCACCCATTCTAGTTAGTGTTTTATTAACTTGGGTGTGGTTTATAATCATGACCGACCGACCAGCAGTGATTTTGTAGCGAAGAACTTGAAGGTAGCGGTCCATCTATACAAGAAGATAATAGATACAGTCTGGATGGCTCTACTCAAACTGCTCAAGAGTAGCTAATTAGCTGCTGAACACTGTAATTGTATAAACACGTGGTCAATTGTCATAGCATCAATCAATTTGTTTCCATGGTATTTAATTGAACTTCTTTATTAGTTTTTATCACTGCGAATATTAGCAGCCGCGAATATAACCCGACCTACGGTAATTGAAATGACCTTTGAAACCTTCATAATATTATACTTACTCCAAAGAAAAGCTAGAGCCTTAATCAGCCATAAGGAGGCTAAATCCAAGCCTTGTTACTAGTAGAAAGCCATTAATCAGCAGCATTCCAGTGCTAAACAAGCTACTCCTTGTTAAAAGCAGCCATTTTATAATACCATATATTCTAATTAAGTGAATTTAAAGCACCACGTGGTAACTCACGGTCTTGATTTCAGAATCTAGATAATTGAGGTCTGGATAATCGAGGTTACAGTATACTGTACTGTACATTCCCACATTGCTATACTTACAATTTACACAATGTATTTTGGCATTTTCGTTATTATTTGTTATTAGGTTAAGTCACCTGATCCCAGTAAGATTCAGTATGACATAGGAATGATAATGAAACACATTAGGTGAGTGAACATGTACTGTATTACTAATAATTACTGCACGAAAAAAGGATTACTGCAATTACTGCTAATTACTGATAATTACTGCACAAAAGGATTGTAATTGTTACTTAAGTTTTCGATCTCCTCTATAAAGTAAAAACTGCTTTATTTTACCCATTAAATAACTGCATTATTTTGCAAGCTATTCTGGTTTTTGGGGTCCTGATATTGTTGGAGGCCCTAGGAATTTATCCCCTCTCAGTGGGATTGTGTGTATGAATTTATGTACAGTTTGTACACGTACAGTACATGTACTGTATCTTAATTGTCATTCTTAGTATTATGCATGTACATGTACATTGTAGGTATGATTATTATTGTGTGATCTATGGATGGGATTATTCCTGTGAGATGACTGAGGCCTGGATACATCAAATGGGAGTCGATCAGCTACCACTGGGACCAAATCAACCGTTTTATAATGTACTGGTTAATGATGGGACCAACAGATACGCTGCACAAGGTAATATTGTACATGTATTACCCAAGGCTATAGCCCATGGTTTGTCCCAAAAAATGGTTCCAAAATCACTCCAAATTTTTATTACATTTTCTGATACATATTGATGTCCTTATGCTGTGTAGCAAGTTTGAGCTGATTCTGACTTCAATTTTTCAAGTTACGGCCATTTTAAGAAAATGCCAAAATTCTGAAAAATACCCAAGGCTATAGCCCATGGTTTTTTCTGAAAAATGGCTAAAAAATCACTCCAAATTTTTATTACATTTTCTGATACATATTGATGTCCTTATGCTGTGTAGCAAGTTTGAGCTGATTCCGGCTTCAATTTTTCAAGTTATGGCCATTTTAAGAAAATGCCAAATTCTAAAAAATACCCAAGGCTATGGTTTTTTTACCATTAAATAAATAAATAAATAAATTACAGAAATAATAATGTTATATACATGTGAGTATGTGTGTGGGATAACTGTTTATTATGTAATAGAACTTTAAAAATTTATTGTAAGACTTGACCCTCAGAAAGGGCAAGATCAATGTTGGAAGACGAATGAATTGGTCTATGATAAGACGAACAAGCACCTCTGAAGCAAACGATAGCAGATCTTAAAAGTGAAAATGAAAGACGACATCTAATCCAATTTAAAGTTGTAGAATAAGGCTTTGATTGTCTTTCAGATAAAAGAGAAGCCAATCTCTTATAGAATACATTTGAAGAAGGGCTCATACCACCAGATGTAGTAAAAACTAAAGGTGTAAAGGAACCATGCTCTACATTTCTTATCCTCTCTTCATAACACCTCTTTTCTTTCTCA